CCCCAAAGTTTTCAATCAACGCTGGTCAGCCTTGCTTCTGTTCCTGCCTATCGGGATAACGGCCTGTTGTGTGTAATATTGAGTATTCTAGGCATGCATTATATGGGCGTGTGGGTGAGTGGAGGGCAGATGGTATCAATACATCACATTGCTTTCTTTGCCTGAGAATTTTGGAATGTGGTTCGGAACCAATAGGAATTTGACTGGAGTTTAACTGGGGATAGCCGATCTCTTATTTTCTGGACAACGACACTAACTCTCCCGAGTCTAGTAAATAACATCTGCATTTGAATATCCATCGTCCTGTAACATCCGTTGTAATTTTAGTAAGTTTTAGTAATTTTAAGCAGAATAGAAACATAGAATGTGACGGCAGATAAGAACCATTCGGCCCATCTAGTCTGCCCTATTTTCTAAATACTTTCATTAGTCCCTGCCTTATCTTATAGTTAGGATAGACCTACGCAAAACGTAAGTCTGGTGTGTACTGATATTTCTAACTGACACACAGAAGAATTAAAAATATATGTACAGGAACATCACACGAGCCACCAAACTAAAAGAAAAACGGGACATTACACCTTCACTAATCCCCATCAGTGCACACAGGGCATTACACCTTCACTAATCCCCATCAGTGCACACAGGACATTACACCTTCACTAATCCCCATCAGTCCACACAGGACATTGCACCTTCACTAATCCCCATCAGTGCACACAGGACATTGCACCTTCACTAATCCCCATCAGTACACACAGGACATTGCACCTTCACTAATCCCCATCAGTACACACAGGACATTGCACCTTCACTAATCCCCATCAGTGCACACAGAGCATTGCACCTTCACTAATCCCCATCAGGGCATTGCACCTTCACTAATCCCCATCAGTGCACACAGGGCATTACACCTTCACTAATCCCCATCAGTGCACACAGGGCATTACACCTTCACTAATCCCCATCAGTGCACACAGGGCATTACACCTTCACTAATCCCCATCAGTGCACACAGGGCATTACACCTTCACTAATCACCATCAGGGCACACAGGGTATTACACCTTCACTAATCACCATCAGGGCACACAGGGTATTACACCTTCACTAATCACCATCAGGGCACACAGGGTATTACACCTTCACTAATCCCCATCAGTGCACACAGGACATTACACGTTCACTAATCCCCATCAGTGCACACAGGACATTACACCTTCACTAATCCCCATCAGTGCACACAGAGCATTGCACCTTCACCAATCCCCATCAGTGCACACAGAGCATTGCACCTTCACCAATCCCCATCAGTGCACACAGAGAATTGCACCTTCACCAATCCCCATCAGTGCACACAGAGCATTGCATCTTCACCAATCCCCATCAGTGCACACAGGACATTGCACCTTCACTAATCCCCATCAGTGCACACAGGACATTGCACCTTCACTAATCCCCATCAGTGCACACAGGACATTACACCTTCACTAATCACCATCAGTGCACACAGGACATTGCACCTTCACTAATCACCATCAGTGCACACAGAGCATTGTACCTTCACTAATCCCCATCAGTGCACACAGAGCATTACACCTTCACTAATCACCATCAGTGCACACAGAGCATTGCACCTTCACTAATCCCCATCAGTGCACACAGAGCATTGCACCTTCACTAATCCCCATCAGTGCACACAGGGTGGGTTAATACAGGGATGCTGTGTGCAATTCTTACTTACTCACTGCTTATAGAGTCTGTTGATGTTCCCAACACAAGTGCCTAAACCAGCTGTCAGGAGAGCTGATATCCTCATGCCTTGGAGCCTGGGACAGGTGGAGCAGCTCTAGGGCCTGTTTGTACACCTTGCAGGCAGCACTCCTGTTACCTTTTGTCTTTTAGTTTCAGCTGGACGAACTCCAGTTTTGCACAAAAAAAAACCTCTGCCCTAGATCTTATCATTACTCCTACTAGTACGGAGCAGTGCGAGGGACAAACTTGTGGCAGTACAGGAGCCCTTAGTGCTACGGTAGCTGTTATGACCTGTCACTGGCAGCCAGACCAGTAGGGGGAGTCACGTGTAAGAAGAGGAATAGAACCCTGGCATTCAGTCTGACGAGCATTCTAAAGATCATGTGCTCAATATTCTGAGGGCAGGGTGACCCAGGAAGCCATCTTTAATGTGGGCACATAGAAAATGAAACCAAGCTCAGCCTGCGAAATATGAAATTGTAACAATGTTTCCCTATCCGCAAGGAAGGCTGCTGGTCATGTGACATGCATGTTCAGTGCCTGCCCACATCCCAGGGGTAGAACTAATAGCACAAATAGCTATGTGACCTATATTTAATTAATAAGTGATTCCTTGACTGCTGCCTATTAGTTATCTCATCCTCGCAGACACAGAGAGCACAGGTTCCCAGCTGCTGAGGAATAAGGATCCCAGGACCTGGGGAGACACAGGTATGCAGGGTGATGGGTCTGCTGGAATTCTAAATACACTGGGACTAGGGCTTTGTCACATTTATTTAAGGACTAATAGCATTGATTTCCACATATTTTATTAGTGTTATTATTGGCATTTATATAGCGCCAACGCATTCCGCAGCGTTTTTACTATATCATAAAAAGTAGAAATTTAACAGTAAATGAGACAATTACAAAATGTTACAGTAACAACATCCAATAAATCATTCCTAGGTATTGGGTAACATTGCACTTTAGCAGGTAGGGGATACTAAATTGGGAAATCCAAGGGTAGTGTTGTACACAGGTAATCAAAGAATAACTGCTGCCACCTCAGCGCCCCGTGGAAGGGATCCGCAGTCCCTTGTAGTAACTTTAAATTAATAGTTCTATACAACACATGATTAAGGCTTGAGGCCAAAACGTTGTATGTGATTTTGTTCTTCTGATCTCAATAAATATCACCTTCATTACATCAGACCGTCATGCCTTTGGGCCATTGATTTGAGTTATGGGATTCTAGTATATGGACAGGTGAATGTCTAATTGATTGGCAGGTGTGTGTGTGTATAGTTTTAAAATTCTTCTTCCATTTCTTTCTCCTTCCTTCTTTTACACTATGATACGTACACATACTACCTTTCAGATAGATTCTCACAAACATGCACACTGTGGGTTGCAGATGCAAATTTGGGGCAACGTGGTACATGTTTAAAGACCTTTTGCCAGTTTCCATGCAGGGCTGGTACGAGTTTTTTCTACACCAGACAGAAATCCACTTTGCAACCCCTTTGTGTATCCCACTTAACCATTCACAGGGTTATTCAGTAAATTGAGAATTGAAAGTTAATTTAACATTTATGGCCAAAGTGGACAAACTGGAACCATAGCCGACTTACAAAATGTTTCCAGCTTGACTAATTTACCTTGAATTTGAAATTCACTTTGATTTCTCACTATAGTGAACAGCCCTGAGAGTCTCTTTTCCCATCTCTTTGGCCTCCTTGGTTTTTCCCATTCATCTCACACATCATCTGACCATTTATCTTAGATTTTTTTTTGACTATTTCTTGTTATTTCTCTTACCATCTATCATTCCCCCCTCCATCTGTCATTTTCATAACTATTATTTACCACTCTATACAGTAGTCTGTGTGTGTTGTAGGCTGTGCGTTTAGTAAATAAAGCATGTTTGCGTAACCGTCACCACAAATTAAAATTTGTATTTAATTAAAACCTGTATCAAGCTATTTAATGCTAACAACATGACCAAGCTAAATGTTAATTTCTGCATTAAAAGTGCACCACTCTTGATTTCCTTACAAAAAATGCGCGCAGTTATGCTAATATGCCTATTCTGTAAACCTTATTGTTCAATCCTATCTTGCTATTGCTGCTGTGGCATAGCGAGAATGCTTGTTACCCTCATGCACGTTAAGAATAAAGAATTTATAAAAAGAATCTCAGTTACACTGTACAGTGAGTAAAGCCCATTTGAGTGTGTGAATGTTTACTTGCCTAGTTGGGGTGCAGTGAGTAAAAGGTTGATAATCCTATAACTTTCTGTTATCGACACTTGTTTCGCAATTTGTCTGTTGCTCAGTCTTCGTTCATGCTCATGCTTTTTATATGCATTTGATTATTCGTTGTCACCCATGAGCCTTCTGCTCATGCATAAAATCATTGTGCGCACACTACTTATATGTGAGGGAAGGTCATGGGCACCACATTTGTTCACGTTTGCCAAGCTTGTTTTGATACTAATATCTGGATATATCATTTTGTATTTTTTTTAAATACTCTGTCAGGAGTAGATAATGTTCAATCAATCAATAGGCTGTTTTATAAAAGGGAACACAGTTATGGGAATGTGTGCTAGAGTAACTATCTGGATATATCATTTTGTATTTTTTTAAAATACTCTGTCAGGAGTAGATAATGTTCAATCAATCAATAGACTGTTTTATAAAAGGGAACACAGTTATGGGAATGTGTGCTAAAGTAACTTTAGATTCATTGTGTTTAAAGGACCACGCTAAGCACAATAATCACTACACCCCCTGTTTGAGAGGAATGGTGGGTAAGGAAGATATAAAGCCTGGTAGCAGCATTCTCTGCATATTGTAGAGGGATAATGTGGATATTGGGAACACTGATGAACAAGTGCATTTGTAGCATCTTGTGTTAGATGGGGGTAAATAGAGCAGCATTTTCAAAGTTGCAGTAACATGATTTGGAGACAGAGTGAATGGCAAAAAGGCAAGACTGAAAGCGATGTAATAAGTGTTCCACTGACCTGCAGTAAGTGGAGGTAAAATATAAGAAGGACAAAAGAAAAAAATCAGGTATTGGAAAAGCGAAACCAGGAAAATAAAATCCGGGTGACTCCAATTGCATTACTTTTGCGTCTGGAGCTTCAACTCTCATTTTTAATCCAGAACTGAATAATGAGTTCCATTCTTTGCATATCATATTTTAGAAAGCCGCTAAATTTTTCAGTTTTTATAGATCTCTCAATATTTATTTCTCAGAATGGACAAAGTTATATCCTGCATGTACAAAAAACCCAACGCCACTACAAGGTTAATATGCTTCCCATGGGCTGGAGGAGGATCGATATTCTTTGCCAATTGGGGAAGACTGTTCGATGAGTCTGTAGAAGGTTTGTAATTATTTAACTATTCGTGGTATGTTTCTTTCCCTCTATAGGAGAACGGAAATGATTTTGATTGATGTGTTTTTGTAACGGACCGTTTTGCTCACCAGAGGTTAAAAACCGTTTAGGCGATATTCCCCTTTTTCAGCTGCACAGACAGCTACTGTAAGCACCGATCTCCCGAACTGGAAACACCCGAACACTAGAAATATCCGAACAGGAAAACCATACGAAAGGGTTACACTCCTGGCAGTCAGCATACAATCCCATTCCCCCAATAACGAGACGACACTTCGTTTTGAGGGTTAAGCAAAATCTCCAGATTTATTCCCACAACCTCCATGCAAGGGAGGAATCCACAACAATTAGTACCCCAGCCAATAATGTACCCGTTACCTCCCACACATCTCCTCCCATTAGTGTGACACATAATCCCATTAGTACAGACACAAATTCCCTGGGTTACTGGATGTACCCCTAAACATAGGGTTACCCCTTTAAATGTTACATCTCCTGGTAGCCCTGATCTGAGTGAGACACATATCCAAAAATCACCCAGATCGGACCAGGGGTTCGGGAATTATGGAGGGTTAAAGTTTTGACCGACTGCATGGCAAAAGTATCCGAAAATAGTTCCATGTATTTTGGCCCTGCAGTCGGTCACAGAAAAGGGAATGAAAACACATGAATTGCCTGGGTTATAGAGCCTGGGGAGTTTAAACGAATTCCCTTGTTCGTGCGCTTCTTTCTACCGAACGGCGGGTCATTCGGTAGTTTCCACACGAATTCATGGAAGTCTGGAGGTCTCAGCGGTGTTTGCCTAGTCGAGTGTCCGATTTTAGTTCCAGACACTCGACGGCAAAACACCGCTGTTCGGGAGTTTAAGATGGCCGCCGCCACGTGTTCGTTTCCCGAATGTCGGCCACCCAGAGGACAAAACCACACATTACATCGATTGCCAATTACCCGTTTCCAACATTGTTGCAAACGGTAATTGGAGGCACACTTATTCCTGGGTGGTCTGGCTGTTCGGTAGTTTCACTCAATATAATGAATGCAGTGATTCTATCGAACAATCAGGGGAATGCTGCATACACATATACAATTTAGCCGAACACACAGAAACATACATAATATAAAAGACATCCTTACTGTAATCTGCTACAAAGTCTTAAAGGGATATTGTTCCCAAAAAGTCATAATATGTCCACGGATGGCCCTTAAAGGGCCAGTAGCAGCAATATACAATACCACATGCCCAAATATTGCATTCAAAAGTACAAATTTTTCAGGGGCCATAGTCAGCAGGTAGGAGGCGGTCAGCCAGGCCTCTCCAATGTCCAGTGGCGAGGCAGTTTTCTCCACAGTTTTTATCAAACATTTTGTTCGTACACAGAATAAACAGCCTGAAAATCAACTGACTGATAATACAAATACCGTATTTTCCGGCGTATAAGACGACTGGGCGTATAAGATGACCCCCAACTTTTCCAGTTAAAATATAGAGTTTAAGACTAACCCCTCTTCCAATGCACACCAAATAAAAATTAGCCATGATTTACAGTGAGCAGACAGAGCTACACAGCAAGATAATCTGAAATAGCATTTAATGCCCAGGTATGTGCCAGGCTGTTTGGGCATATAATCTTTATGCCCTTTAATTCTTTTTATTCTTTTTACTCCCCCCCCCCCCAATCCTCCCTACATTCTTCTCACCTCCGCTTCCCTGTGCAGAGTGGGTGGCCGAGCTCTTCTTTGTCCTGTCAGTCCTGCCGGGTACCGCGCGATACAGGAGATTCAGTTACCTGTTCCCGGCCGGACTGACAGGACGAAGAGGAGCTCGGTCACCCACTCTGCACAGGGAAGGGGAGGTGAGAAGAGAGGCAGTGCGGCAGCCGTCTGACCGCTCTCTATAGAGCGCTCAGGCGGCTGCAGCATTAGAAGGGCCGGCGATGGGGGCGCAGGGCGCCCCCGGCTGCCATATAGACCCTATACCCGGCGTATAAGACGACCGCCGACTTTGGAGAAGATTTTCCAGGGTTAAAAAGTCATCTTATGAGGCGGAGCCTAGCCACCAGAGAGAGAAGTCGCACGACACTGCAGCTCCGACCCAAAAGCGGACAAAATCGCAAATTTAAGGGTCACCCCCGGCCATAACGAGCCCCCAGACGTCGGACCCACACACCTAACGACTATGGGACGCAAAACCAAAAAACCCAAGCAGGATCAACCTCACCTTGGGATGAATATCGGAGAAATGTGGCGCCTAGCACATGGCACGGCAGGGCCCAAGATGGCCGACCTGTCGGGCGGTTGCTTCGATTTTTCGGACGACCTGGCTTCCGAAGAGGAAGAGACGCCTGAACTCACGCCGGCTAAACCCCCACCGACGAAACCGGACACATCCCCGGTCACACTATCGGCGCTCAAGGGTCTCCTTGCCGACCTACAGACCACCCTGCAGGCTGACATTGCCACAATCAGGGGAGGGCTGCAAGGACTGACAGGCCGAATTGACAAGCTGGAAACCACCACTCACCAGGACTCTCAGCGTATACAGGTGCTGGAGAAAGCGGTGCAAGACCTCCAGCGGCAGAACCAGACCCACGAATGCCGCTTTGCAAATCTAGAAGACCTACGGCGGAGGAATAATTTGAAGCTCCGGGGGGTGCCTGATGCTGTCCCTGAAGCGGAGCTGCCACACCTGGTGCGGAGAATGATGGGGGATCTCCTACCACAAAAACAAGCGAAAGCAACACCCCTGGATGGGCTTTTTAGAATCCCCAAACCGGCCAGAGCCCCACCGTCGACATCAAGTGACCTGATAATTCAATTCAGGCACGGAACAGACAAGGCGGCGATCCTGAAGGCAATCAGGGGTAGGCCAAACTATCGTTTTGAAAACATGGCACTGGAATTCTATAATGACCTGTCCGGCAGCACGATGGCCTGGCGGAGGTCGCTCAAGCCCCTCACATCCATGCTCCAACAGCGAAACATCGAGTACCGCTGGCGAATGCCCCGCATGCTTCAGATCATACATGGAGAGACCACATACCAAATCCAAGACCTACGAGAGGCAGACACACTCCTGAGGGATCTGGGACTGCCGCAGGACATTCTAATCAACCCTCAGCAACAACCTGAACCCAGACACAAGCATACCTGGAATCCAAGCAAAATTACCCCGTTCACACCTCGACGAAACACAGGGGAACCGTATGCTGCAGCGACCACATGAAACAACGAGAGACGCTCTGACCGAGACCGAGGGTGACTGGAACGACCCTCAAGCTACTTCACTTTGTGACTTTAAGTTAATTTGAGTTCTTATTCTTATTATATATAATTTTTTATTTTTTTTTCTCTCCTTAAAGTTATAGCAAGGTGATTGAAATATCTTTCTCCATTTGTGTATGACCCAACTATCTCACGCTTTACGCCGAGATGGAGCTGGCAGTGACCCCAGCCATTCATAATAAGTAGCATGAAGTATGATATGCCACGACTCACTGCAACAGATAGCGCTACAAATGCAGTCACAGAATATCCTGCACACCCTCTGCACACAATCCTGTACATAGTTTAACTGTGGTTTAGCAGTATTTATATAAAGGTCACACAGGAATGTAAGACGCCCTGCCTGGTGGCACCCTGTATTAAAGGAAAATTTTAGGTATGATAAAACCTTCATGGCATTACCCGTTCCCCGGTAGTCAGCATTGCTCACCCTAACATAATCTGCAACACAATCCTTCTGTGTTACCTACTACGTGTCATGACTACTCGATCCAGCAGTTGCTACATTACAGATATGCCTCTCACTTATACACTATTCAGCATAACCAAGACGAGGTCTAGATAGTATAGCGATGACACGCTACGTAAATATTAAGCCACTGCTAGCATCAGATAAAGTAAAGCAATAAGACAGACGTAGTTGCATAGCTACAACTTTGCTACCTTTCATCTATTATCTATCAAACTGAAAGAAAGCGGCCAAAAATTATCTAAATGCAGATATATATACTCACCCACTGCTTAATGTAACGTATTCACTATGTTGTAAGCTTTAGCCTGTTGAAATTTCAAGATGTTACTACATTGGCTAAGCCTGTTTAAACACCACCAAGTTATCGAGTCTGACTGACAAGCTACATAATCATTTAACATATAAAATGTGCACGTATTAACATGTACCCTATTGTTACCATTATTACTTGAAAGCATGAGGAATGCCGTTGGGGTACCGCATGCTCACTGTTATACCTCTACGCACTACAAAAATAAAGAATTAAAAAAAAAAATAAAAAGTCATCTTATATGCCAGAAAATACAGTAATTACATAGTAGTGCAAATCATGTGGTTTGGAACAAATAAAAGAACAAAAAAAATCAGAGGAGTGGAAATTAAAACAAATAAATACAACTAGTTGTAGGGACTAACGTGATAGCCCAATTTACTTGTCCTGACAAAATAATTTCACATTAGAAATTTTTGGGACTCTGTTTAAAAATGGACATTGGCAGAGTTGTTGACTAAACTAAATTTAAAAATAGCTGAACTGGTGAAAGACTCCAACTCAGCCAGTCACTTCTTGTTAATTTTGCCTCAGTTTCACCATTTGGATCTAATTTGTTAAAATATGGAATTTAGGGTGTCCTTCTCCATAATGTCTGTGGTGGGATGTATCGGCTGGGTGTAATTTGTGTGGTGTTTTCTGGCTGTATGTAATGTGTAGTGTGTACTGGATGCATGTAACGTGTAGTTTCTGGGGAGTGTGTTGCATGTATGTAACGTGTGTGTTTGGTGTTTGCTGGCTGCATGTAATGTGCATGTGGTGGCTGTATTTAATTCATTCGGTGTGTGCTGACTGTATGTAGTGTGTGTGTGTTTGTGTGGTGGCTGCAATATGAGAGATCATCTGTGAAGAAAACTTTCACAATGTATTTTCACACGTTCCAAAGTATGCACTAGTCATGCTAAACTCTTGTTAGAGTTGAAGGTGGAATAAAACAACCAGATAGATATCTACCTCTGCTCTTTCTTGGCCAGGCACCAAAATGGAGGCAATGTCACCCACTGCTTTAACAACCTATATACAAGCTACAAATAGATATCATTAGTTATTGTAAACTGTTCTGTGTGATATGGGTCATTTAGTAAACCCACATAGCTATAGATTTAGATTTTCTTTACTTTTATGAAATACTATTTATGAATATTATCATTTACAGTTTGTATTGTATATCTTCCCTAAATGGTTGTAAAAATGCCCGGTCACTAAAATTCAACCAGGAGCTAATTTTGAAGTCTTACTTAATACAAACACAATTTGCCGCCTCTCTTACAGTGAAACAATAAACCTGTCACTTATTCACATATTGGATGCCATTCTATGGGTTGTAATTGAATACAAAGAATGGAGGAGACTGCTTTAAAGGGACACTGTAGTCACTATAACCACTTTGTCTCTTTGAATTGGTTATAGTGCCTGGAGTTCCCTGGCACTGTCCCTCCATTCAGTGTTGCACCATGTTTGTGCAGTATGCCACAAAATAAGAGTCCCTGGCCACCCACAGTCCGGCCCCTTCTGTATGTGTAGCTAAGGCAGAGATTACACACTTCCTTGTTGTCATACCCATTCATACCGTCAGTTGGAGCTCTGACAGGTTAAAAGCAGTCAGCTGACACTCTCAGCCAATCACAGCTGCCCATTGCTGCTCAGGGTAATACTTCCTTATTAGCCAAAGCAGCACAGAGGGGATGGACTGCCGTGGTGTCTTGTTTAGCATTAAAACATTACAACATTAAAAACTGTTTAATGCTGAAAGAAATGATGGCACCAGGGGACTCCATACACTATAACCAGTTTAATGAGATGAAGCAGATACAGTGCCTACGGTGTCCCTTTAATGGAAGCAGAACAGTTAAAGCGTAATTTCTTTACTCAGCATCCTCAGCGGCAAACATTTATCTGTGAATGTTTTACAACAAACTGTAAATGTTTAATCTTGCTGATTTGTAGTGAGGTAGGTATTGTTACTATACTGCAAGCAAATCGTAGTATGACATCTGAAGATGAATATCTGTTCTTTATATCAAATATAATGTTTATTTAAAGTTTATCTTTATCTAGCTAGAAAATTAATTAAATGCAAAGTATTTGGATATAGGTCAGGGGCTATTAGTTTCTCGGTGAGGTAATTGCTATAGTTATTCTTCCCAGCATCCAAAATGGACCGGTGCCCACAGAAACTATTTGTGGGTAAAACAAAGGAAGTAAGAGCTTCCAAAGTGCATGCTGATAGAACGACATAAAGACTTTGGCTTTGAGACATGATATTAGCATAGGAAACTATGCACATCAATGGATTCTACATTCGGAATCCGGCATTGATGTGCTGGTCACATCTGAGCTTGCTTGAGGAAGAAAGTATCCCTCTGTCTCATTGTGAACAGCCTACATAACGTATCCTAGTACAGGAAACAATGGAAGCCTCTGTTGTAGTGGTATTTGCAGCTAATGGCAACTGGTTAAGTTGCCGTCTGCATTCATACTGGCAGTATGAACGCTTGGACGGTTCCAGTACCTGGTCCTGCTATATTGTCTATTCACTGCCAGTGGTGGGATGGAGTGTTTTACATTACTAAGGACTCTCAATTGGAACATGTCGTTTCAAAATAAAAAAAACAGAAAAAAATATTTACAATAAACAACTTGAGCATTTTTGAGGTTGGATTAAAAAATGAGTTGTGTAATGAAGCTTACAGAAGGCCTCTGTTGGGTAATTTACTAGTGTGGGGATTTGGGGAAATTCAAAGTGAATTCAAAATGAATTTCAGATTTAAGGCAAAAGTAGATAAACTTGGAGCAAGCTTGACTTGGAGAACCTTTCCAATTCGGTTATTTTGGCCATAAACATGAAATTCCCCTTGAATTCTCTTTAAATTACCGACAATTTTCACTTTAGTAAATAACCCTGTGTGAGAAAGAAAATGTAGGGCATTGAGGAGGATACTCATTCCCATAGGGATCATTGTGAGGACCAAATGAGGAGAGTCATGATGATCTATAGATCTGACCTCCACTGATTGCCATCCACTCTTCTGATCTCCATCCACTGTGTTAAAGTTCTGTCAAGTCCATAGAAGACATGACACCATGCCCATAATTTGTCACGTATTGACTATGGCCTTCACTGCAATTCTTGCCCATATTCAAATATGCAAGTCCACCGTGCAACATCCACCCTAATTCTTCTATGTCTTCCATGATACGTCCATCAATCCTCTCCATCTACCCCACTATGTGTATCTTATTTACTTCAAGTTTATTCCATAGGCTTTTAAACTGGCCTACATTACCATTATACAACAAAATGAATCCCTGCTATAAAATCATCTGTGTTTGTTTGCAGTTTACTCAGTAAGGCTAGCAGGAAGAGAATCACGTACTCAAGAACCTTTTGCTCAAAACATGGACCAAATTGTTGATGAAGTTTCTCAGAGTTTGTTGCCACACCTGCAGGAAAAACCATTTGCCTTTTTTGGCCACAGGTAAATCCTTGTTAATATACTACAGGTTATTACTTTACTGGCAGAGTTTGCAAGAGAAGTAGAGTTACGTGAACTACTTTCAATTGGAATAATATCCTGTGTTCAGCACGACCAACTACAAAATGTACTTTAGTACATTGATTTTATTACATTTTTATAAAAGCATACAATCTCTGATTACACAGACATGCTTTCATTATTTATACAAATGACAAACACTGTTTATTATTATCAGTATAATAAATACCTGGGAAGTTTATTAATTTCATCTTGGGAATATACATAAAAGTCTGCCTTAGGTATAAAATATATAATCCAAAAGAAAAAGTAGTGTTTGTACTAGCCAGGAAGAAACAAGCTGTGACACCGTTGGTGGAGATATAAATGCAATATAAAAGAGTTATACAAACATATGTCTTCTAAGCTGATAGATACAGGTTATCACAGGTAACCTGAAATACAATGAGAACAGTAAAACATAGTGTGAAGCGTAAAATGACTTTTAAACGTGAAGAATAAAGTTGGACTCTCACTCACATGGCTCAGAGCCATCCCAGGCCTGTATTGCTGGCTCAAGGGTGCCACAAATGGCTGGGAACTTCCTGATATTCCCAATGTATGGAATGATGATGATGGATCTTCAGTATAAAACTTTATTGTATTAAAACACACATGCTACTTATACAAATAAAAATATATACAATACACTTTGGGTACTTACATATATAGTGTGGGAGTGAACAACTCTCTCTATAGGTATCACTCACCACCTGTAAAGTAACCCAGAAAGTAAATAATAATAATAATAAAGTGCTTGTAATGTCAGTAGTCAGCAGATCCGTTTCAGCTTTTTTAAAAGCGCTTTATTATTATTCCACGTTTAAAAGTCATTTTACGGTTCGCACTATGTTTTGCTGTTCTTATTGTATTTCAGGTTACCTGTGATAACCTGTATCTATCAGCTTAGAAGACATATGTTTGTATAACTCTTTTATATTGCATTTATATCTCCACCTAGCACCTACTGTGTCACAGCTTGGTTTTTCCTGGCTAGTACAAATACTACTTTTTTTTGGTTTACATTTATTTCAGTGTTGGGGAATTACTGTTTTTTTTTACTAGTTCTGACACTTCACTAATTTTGAAGCACCTGACACACTGAATTGCGTTGTTCTTATAAAATATATAATCCTTATACTTTTCTTCAATAATGATTTCTCTATTTCTGTATCAGTCAGTGATCTGTACAACTATCCACGCTCCTTGGGAGTCCTCATTATGAAAATCAGTTTAAAGAAAACTTTTAAAATAAAAACAATATGGAATAGCATATTGTTTAAAGGGTTACACAAATCACCATCACAGCTTGGCATAATTAGACAAATTGACAGCAAACACAGGATGGTTGCTATCAGGGGCGGGCTGGGATGGGGGCAGGGAGGCAATTGCGTCCCAGGCCGCCCTAAAGCATGTTAAAAACGTCCGCTGTCTCTGCCTGCTTGCCTGCCCATGGAGGCAGAAACAGGATCTCTTGGCTGTCGCTTGGCTGTGGAGTCAGAGGGAGGAGGAATGGAATGGCCGCTCACTGGATGACAGGGAGTGAAAGCTGATGCTTTCCGGGAGTTGTAGTCCCTGCTAGGTGATAACTCACACAACCACTTGACTGGATTTGCCCCCTAGGCCTAAGGCTGCCAGCCCTCCCCTGGCTGCTATTTGTTTTTGTAACAACAGCCACACCTGCCATTTTGAATTTTATTACAATTTTTTTTATATAGTGCCAACATATTCCTCAGCACGCAATACATGTATACGGAGATGGGGGGTCATCCTATTTTGGCATTAAAATTATAGTCCTTTGTAGTCCTGATCCATTTTTGCTATCTGTGTGCAATATGTAGAATGCATGTTCAGGATCAGATCAGCAGAGTTCTATGTGTATTCTCTGAGTTATGTATCACAAGAACTTTCCCTGCATGACATGTCTTATCTTCTACACTTTAGAATCTATAGTACTTGTTTCATCAACGTTAGAACATCATTAAAAGCAGTAAATGCAATAAGATAATCTCAATTTCATCCATCAGATTAATTAAAGGGACACTCCGGACACCTAAAGCACAATAGCTTCTTAAAATACTTATGTGTGAAGAGTGTGTCCTCTCTTTTTATTTTTCTTTATCATTTTACAAATAGAAATTGGCACTTTTATAAATTAACTTTGTGACACACCCCGGCTGTCAATCAGAGAACCAGTCCTGTTACTTCCTGGTTTGGTTAGTTCAGTGGAGCTAAACTCAATAGGCAGCAATTCTAGAATTACACGATATCCACTCACCAGAGAAGAATTGTGATTCTGAGGATGTAACAACTGGGTTGTGTCAGGAACTGAGATAAGGTGATGAAAGTTCAAATGTATATTTCGACGCTACTAATAAATACAAAAAATAAATAATTCATAATAAAAAAATAAAAACAAACAATATATAACGAACTATACACTAAAACTTTGTTACTCACATTTATACCAATGTACATGCTTCTAGCGTTCAGCTACGCAACTTCCTAGTAAAGGTTTATGCATTAGGGAACACAGTCCTCCATTGGAAGTTAACCCACAACACGCTGTGATTTCAAGTCCTGTATGGCAACAAGCTGTCTGTGACTTGACAATGTTAATCTTGATAATGTTTATTTGTACATGACGATTGTGACCCCATTTGTTATTTGTAATTGTAATGCTATATGAAATATGTGACGTAAAAATTTTTTTTTAAAAATTGTAAAAGATGATACATGGGAAAACAAAAAAAGGCTATTTAACGGATCACCTGGCACCCCGACTGGGTACCTCTGTTGAAGGATGCTCCTAGCGCTTCCTGAGGACTCCAAGCACTCTGGCAGACACCACAATCACCGAACCGGAGAAACAAATAAATTCTCCCAAGCATATGAATGCTGTAGACAGTTGAATAGGAACCATACGAATAGGTTTACTCTCCTAGCAGTCAAACTGGAACAGCATACAATAAATCCTTCCCCCAATAATGAGACGACACTTCACTTTGAGGGTTAAGCAGGAACTCCCTGTACTGTCACATACAGTCTCTTTTATTCCCAATCCACAAACATAGTACAGCCCACAGGGCGTTACAAAACAACCAATCAATCCGTACAATACACCCAGACACTCCCACACAAAATCCTCCCCTCTGCATGTGATATGATTACTGAACACAATGGGTAATCTCATTATCACCGGCAGAGGAATACAGTTTTTACACAATATTTATAACTTCTAAAATATACATGTCACAAACATAAAACATACATTTTCATAATCAATCCATTCAGGGGAACAACATATTAAAAAATGGCACGAATCAGACCAGGGGTTCAAAAGTTAAGGGAAAGTCCTTTGTGACTAAATGAAGCATGGCTTTCCGGCCCAAACCAGTTTCAGAGTCTTCTATCCTGGAGATTGAATTGAGAAGTAATTCAATTATCTCCCAGGACAGACACAAGACTCCATTATGCACATGGTGAGCACAAAGCATTAAAATATTATAAAATACACAAAGTCACATTTTATACATAAAACACAGACATGTCACATATCCCCAGATAGCTGGGATCTGAGCGCACAAAACTACCGAATAGCGCTCAGATCCTATTCACACAGTTCAATTGCCATGGAGCCGAAGTCTTTAACTACACGAATGGGCTCCATGGCATAGCTATCTGGGTTAACACATTCACATAAAGTCTGGTCCATAGTCCAAAGGCAAGAGGCGGGCAAGCAGCCCCCTCCAAGGACACGTGGCGAGGCCGGTTTCGCCACAGGCTACAATTGCCCAGAGCACCTGCCTTGCATGAATTCTCATTGATCTGCATTGGGAATTCTGTGTTAGGACAGTCACAGAAAGTCTGGGCGGAGTTAGAAAGGGAGGCGTGCAAAGGCTGCTGTATTTAGATAAACCCCCAATAAAAAAATGCATACATATAGTAATGCATGGCTTCATTGGGGTATATCTGCTAAATTGTGGGGATTGTTTAAAAAAAAATAAAACATTTAAAATGTATTTCTTTGCATTTGGGTAGTGGATTGTCCATTTAGAGTGAATGAATTCATAGTAAAATCAAAATGAATATCAAATTCCTGGTCAAAATAAGGCAAACTGGACAACGTTTGGCTACTTAAAGGGACGCTCCAAGCACCCAGACCACTTCTGCCCATTGGAGTGGTCTGGGTGCCAACTCCCACTACCCTTAACCCTGAAACTGTAATTATTGCAGTTTTTTATAAACTGCAGTAATTACCTTGCAGGGTTAACTCCACCTCTAGTGGCTGGTCCATAGTACAGGTTTTCTGTGCTAGAGCGTCCCTGGACGTCCTCACGCTGTGTGAGGACCTCCAGCGTCGCTCAATTCCCCATAGGAAAGCATTGAAAAGCATCGAGAGGTTCTGGAGTCCTAACTTCAAGTGGTTTGTGAATGTCTCCTTATCTCAGATATGTCATGTTTCCTTAACCACCGTTACATATCTTTAGTACGAAAGTTCCTATAATCTTAGAGTCAGCCCAAGATTAGTGGAAGCTATACTGCAGAGCAGCAGCGGCCTCCACTATATCTGCTAGGTAGAGAAATTAATAAAAATGATGGGATTACATATGGCCGTCACTGTGTGATTAAGTAACTCCTACTGATCTCAGACAGATGTGTTTGTATTAATATTATTGTGGTTTTTTTTCCTCAAAGCAATTTGTTTCCGTGTTCAATAAATTCCTACGCTGTAAACCTGGACTAGGGTCCTCAATCCTGTTTTTACCATTATTTCTAAACACTACTATGTTAGCCTCTGGATCTACTGTACAGCCCTGGTTTGTTAGAGATGTGCCCTCAGTTTCTACCTGAAACCTGGCCCTTCTAAAACTGAACTCATCATCATCAGTCTGAAGGCTCGCACAGCATCATGGGAGATGTAGTTCAGAATCGTATGGCGTGCCGGATTTAGCTATCACAGTCACTGAGGAGTCTTAGGTCATAGGTCCCTACTTTCTGACCCGCTCTCTTCGTCTTTTTAACAGCATGGGGTCATTTACCAGCTTTGCCACAGCTTTAAGATTGAAGGAGAAGTATGGCCTGGAACCTGTCCATCTCTTTGTGTCTGGAGTGTCCGCTCCCCATGTAAGTGATGCATATAATATTACTTGTTGTACCATTAGAGAGGAACTGTCACTAGGGAAAGTAAACTAAAAATCAGCTATGGGTTGATGTTTTATTGTCCAAGGCTCACCTACATTTTTATCTTCGTCAGAGTCTTTTAAATACCATATTTGTTTTCATATGTGAGAGATGTGGAATATGTAACAGGTATGGAACATATATAGTGCACACTTCTAGATAAACTAACTTAGTAACGTTAATGAATTGTAAATGGGAATCACAATTCTATTTCTAACCTTTAAAATATATATAGTTGGAGACTGCATTCAACCTATTAGAGCTATGAAGTCAATGTGTTCACGGCCCACTGGATGAAAACCACTATAGTACAGATCAATAGTAATTGTAAACAAGTATATTCAGGAGAATGCAAATACACAAACCTTTTCTCACAATATAACACACAAAAAAAAATCGGATGCAGTTGCATTGTTCTATTGGGTGGTATGAAAGTCACACTCCAAATTGTAGACAGTAGTTTTAAATATGAAAGAGGGAAAAAAGGAAAATATCACAATGGTATAATACTGTCAGAAGTGACCATTATAAACTGTTACATTTACAGGATGTTGTTATAGTTGATCACTCATTGTTAAAACTTGATTTTTTTCTCTTTCTTTGTATCACAGTCGAAGACACGTTACCCCATACAACGAAGGTCTGACATGAGTGATGAGTATTTCTTGCAATGGATGGCAGGCTCAGGAGGGACTCCTGTTGAAGTCTTACAGAACAAAGAAGCTGCCAAACTGTTTATCCCTCCATTGAAAGCAGATGTTCGAGTTCTAGAATCCTTCATGTAAGTTATTTTCCAGTATGGACACATGATTAAAACTGGTGGGATTTTCTGACCATGACATATGATAAAGGCAACATTAGCACTACTCACAAATGTTCAACTCGTGGGCTTGGCGCTGCTTGCCGGGCTTTAAATTGGAGTGTTGCAGTTCTCCCAACCCAGCATCCCTGATTATAGAAAGTGCTTAAATGTTATTAATCCAGGGCAGAAAGATAAATGTTTCATTTATAAATATTGCGCTGCTGTCCCCAGTCAAAAAAGTAGAACATATAAAAAGAGGATCCTATTACTAAGGAGTGTCCTAACCCCCTCACACCTAACGCGTGTCGTGCATAGATATGCACGTAATCATAGGTGACCTATGAAATTTAAATTGTATTACCCAAAATGTAATAAATCTATACGTGGAGCCACTTATAAAGCTGGCTCAGACTGCACGCCTTGAGCAAATCACTGCTTGGACTTTAGCTGGGTTCTTCCCAAAACTTGATCTGATGTACCACCAGAAACGCAGGTTCAGGGGGTTACACAATTCTTTATTACTCCAAAATTCAATAAAAATCACAAAAGATTATAAATAAATAAAATTAAAGGAAATTCCCATATAATAGTCCAAAATAGTGCACCTAACGCGTTTCGGCGATGTGCCTTCGTCGGAAGTGATACAAGTGACTCTGGCGTGCAGTCTCTTTAAATCTGTTCTTGGCGCCCTTTTCGCCGCATTCGCGGCACTTCATTTCCGTATTTTTACATTTACATTCCACAAGTTTGGACTTTCTGTTATTATGACGGTTCCAACACGTCTTGGCAACCGGAACCGGAAGTAAAGAGAGACGTCCGGACGTGATGACACAGGACGCGTCCTGACGTCAAACCCGATTTAGATTTATTACATTTTGAGTAATATATTTTTAATTTCTTTGAGTGCTCTCACCATTCTTTCTGTTAACTAATCACTTCTGTCTGTTTAGTGGTTATTGTGGCCCACTAAGGTGATTGTAGCACCATCACTTTATTTACTTTTAGGAAATTTCACTTGTGTATTGTATTTTACTTATAGGTGACCTATGATCTGTAGTCATTTCCGTGATTCAAAGAATAGAATTCATGATGAGCAAATACTGAACAACTGAAAGTTCTTTTGATTTATTTATATGACTTTTGTTAGGAGCTTTCTTTACCTTCGGGGTTAGTCAGTAAGCAGCAAAATATTTGTATTCCTAACGCTGTAAGGTTCCTTTAAACTAGACCATCACTGCATTGGAGTTTTTTCCTCAGAGTTTGTTCATGGACAATAAAAAATACATCTAGTTAAAAGAATGCTTCTATTTCTGTATACTTCACAGACTATGAATTGCTCTGAACTGAATTGAGCTGCCACTACAGGCTTTTTGAATAACCGTTTGAATTACATTAAATGTATGAGTGCTGAGAACCAAAAACATAGAAATATATTTTAAAGGGTCCAATGTATGCAAAGAGGACTCTGTGGTCAGGTACTTCATAGGCTTCAGGTTATAGTGTGCTGTACTTCTGTGGAACAATAAAGCTTACAAGTTTCAAAGTCCAAAGACTCACTTGTTTCCTGTGAAATAAAGTAAATTGCACCCTGGGAGACGAATTCATGGCAAAAGCATCTAATCACATACACTCACGCATTTTACCAGATAAAAAATATATACATAAATAAATATAGATAAACATATATATATATATATATATATGTTTTTCAAAGTTCAATAACATTGAAGAGCTCTTAAAATGCATGTTAGAGATATAGTGTTCATACAGAAAAAACACTTATTAGAAACAAACTGGCATGCGCGTTACTGCTCCCTGCCCGTCAGCAGCTCTTCCTTCGCTCCAGCGCTGGGTTCGCGTTGACTGACCAGAGTCCGCAAATCAGTACCGCTCCATTCAATAATCTTCAGTTGTCTGCCTGAAAACCCTCAAGAATGTCCTTGACCCCATCAGCTGCCATCCCTGGAACAAAGATCTCACTCAGATTGCCATCAGCCCAAATAACCACAAGGTTCACATCTACAAAAAATGTGGGAATCAATGGGTGAAATAAGTATATTTATTCTGATAATGTAGATTACAAACCCGAATATGCAGACTGAGTTTGCAGATACTCTTCTCATTTCTTTACTGCTTATATTGAATTAATGCATGGATGGATAGATCGATAAATAGAATGCCTCAATCTCCTTGTACTATGGGTAGGTGTTTATGGGTTAAAAAAAAACGCTACAGCTTTAGGAATACAATCCTGTATGTAACGCTATAGTGTCCTAGTGCCAGATTAGTTTTACGGATCCCTCTTACACCCCTTTTAACTTTTCATCAGTGCCAAGCTGCCCAGGCCTTCTCTCTTGGCGATGGTCCAATCCCATACTTCTCAAAAAGAAGCACTGGGGACTGATGCGCATGTGTGGCGAGTGCAGCACATGCGTTCAAATGCTTCTCATAGGAAAGCATTAAATCCAATGCTGCATTGGTCACATGACCGGGTTTCACTCGGATGTTGGTGCGGATGTCTGGAAGGCAGCCATTAGAGGGGGTTTTAACTCTGTAATGTAAACACTGCAGTTTCTACAATATTGGATTTTCTACAAAACCCCAATGTAATACATTGTAGTGTTAAAACGATAGGACCACTGCACCCAGGCCACTTCATTGACATGTTAGTGATCTAGGAGGTGACTTTAGTAGTCATTGAATTAAAATGTCCCATATATTTGTACTTTATAATCTTAATGCCATTTTCCCCCTGAAGAGCCGCCAAACCAGCGAAACGTGCGTCGGGGCTCCTTTCCAACATGCAGATACGAGATTTAGCTGATCAATAATATTTTGGTGAAACTTTCATGACAGACGACCTTTACCTGCAGGTTATACAGAGTGGATCATTCTGCCGCTGCATGTAGATAGTTACACAGAGATGATTAGAGATTTTTAGGTGCCCTCGAAGGCACAGCTTAGACATTACTTTATGCATGCAGAAACTACTCTGCCTCCCTTTCTCAGTTATATGCACCATCTCTATCGGGGTTCATAACTATTTCTCAGTAGAACTATCTATCTCTGGAGCATGTTACTGCTGCCAAACTAGTGATCAGCTCTACCTGCATGTGATACTTGGCAATCGGATCTGCTGCTCATTTGAGAGTCTAACTCTCACTCTATGCACTCAGTAAGATTCATCATAAGAGGTATATCGATGTGCCCACCAAGGTGCTCCCTACTTACCTACCAAGTGCCATGCATCCTGAGGAAACTTGCTTTGTATTGCAAAAAAAAATTTGTAAACCGAGGCATTATTTTCAATGGATTTTCATTTGTAAACTGAAAATTATGTTAACCGAGGCATTTGTAAACCGAGGTCCCACTATATAGTAATTCTATACACATTTCAGTGCATTTGATCTTTTTTGAACCTCCCTATGTTCAGATTGGTAACTGAGATTGGGGAAACCTTTTGTAAATACTTTATTCAGGAGGATATCTTGACTCTTTTTCACTTTATTTATTATTTTTTGGTATCCTTGATTATTTTTTATTATTTCTTCTTTTCTCTTGTAATTGGTTTAGTGAGAACGTGTATGTACCCTATATATTTCTTGTAGCACTATAGGAGACATTTTCTTCTCCGTCCGTTTTATATTCTTAATCCAAGAGTGAGAGGGCTCATTCGACTTAGGTTTAGTACCTTCTGAGGCAATAAAGTTAGGAATTATATATCGTGTACCCCACAATATTTGTATCCTTGTATTCTAATAGAAGTTAATTTGTATCTCCAGCCAGGACTACAACCTCCCTTCTAATCATTTAAGATTTGGGTCCATGCCCTTTTGTCCTGGGATTTGTTATATTCCTCCCGCCCTCTATAATTACTCATAGAATTAAAATGTTCCATATATTTGTACTTTATAATCTTAATGCCATTTCACACTGTATAAGCAAATGTTTTTGTTTTTTTCCAGTGTTCTGTTGCATTTATTTAGTTATATGTTTGTATTTATTTTTAATTTGTAACAGTTGGCAAATGTTGCCTTTTTAATTTATCATTTTGCGTGCGGTAAACAGACAAACTGAGATTTTCATAAATGCTTCAGAATGGCCAAATTCAGGTCATCATGGACTTTGATATCTGAGATTTTCTTATAGCAGACTCTGACAAAGCGATTTTTTTTCTGTTTTCGAATAGACTATTAGAAACTAATCTCTGGATGTGACCCCAAATTGTCTTTAATTTTTTTACCCAAATGGAATCTCATCAGATCAAATGTATCCTTTATCCCTCCAGCTATGAAAAGCCAGCAGCCCACGTTTTGTCCTGTGGACTGACATGCTTTGATGGTGCAAGTGACAATCCACATGACTTGGAAGGTAGGACATCATTGCTTTGGATTGATTATGATGGTTAGTTTGGGGTCCTGCCAGCATCTCCAATTTGGTTAACGTGAAACTTGTTGCTTCCTATGATTTCTCTTTTTTTAGGTTATATTATCTTTACATATTACCTATATTTTACAGTTACATGTTTGCAATGTCTGAAAAATAAAATTAAAGTGTAACTTTATTGTACACACAAATAAGCTTGAAATTGAAGAGCATAAAACAAATACTCTAAGCAGCAAAACAACTTTAGCTTAAAGGACCACTATAGGCACCCAGACCACTTCAGCTTAATGAAGTTGTCTGGGTGCCTGGTCCAGCTAGGGTTAACCCTAGAGAAACCCTAGAGAAACTGCTATGTTTATGTTAGGGTTAATCCAGCCTCTAGTGGCTGACTCTTGACAGCCGCTAGAGGCGCTTGCGTGCTTCTCACTGTGAAAATCACAGTGAGAAGATGCCAGCATCCATAGGAAAGCATTGTTAATGTCTTCCTATGAGACTGGCTGAATGCGCCCGCAGCTCCTGCTGCGCATGCGCATTCAGCCGAAGAGGAGGAGAGGAGGAGGAGAGCTCCCCGTCCGGCGCTTTAGACAGAGGTAAGTTTAACCCCTTCCTCTCCCCTCAGTGCCACGGGTGTGGGACCCTGAGGATGGGGGCACCCTCAGGGCACTATAGTGGTCCTTTAATGAGGCACATGCAGGGAGGTGTGGATGGGGTTGCATAAACAAAGTGATCTAACTCCTAAATGGCAGATGATTGAGCAGTTAGACTCCAGGACATGGTCTATACACTAAAATTACTTCATTAAACTAAAGTTATTCTGATTCTTAGAGCGTCCTTTTAAATTTATTATATACTTTGCGCTAACAAATGTATAGATTTTAATTTAATGGACTTTAAAAATATGGTCCCTCCTCACCTGTCAATTAATCCTCAACGTAACCCTCTCTATGCTGGTGGCAAAGTAGTCATAGCCAGAACGGAGTAACGGGAGAACAGGAGTACCCTACTACAGTCGGTCACTCTACAGCTCCTCCTGTAGGCATTTCACACGTTTACATTGGGATTTCAGGACATCAATATGAGGACAATGAAGTCAACTTGTTGGCATTATGTAAAATTGTCTTGTCCACTTGCATCTGAGCACAACTGGAGGGTGAATGTTAGAAAATAACACAAATTTCTCAAACTTCTGAGAATGGCAGTGCAGGAGCGAGGGAAGGTTTCTAATAAAACGGCTCCAAATGCAAAAATATATGTATGGTTTATCTCTATAAATGATATAATTCCTGCCTGTATAAATAAAGTTGTACCTGATGCGACAGGTTCACTGTAAATGTAGAAATCCGACCTGCTGTCTTTATATCTATGCCAGAACGGGGCTTCCGCTCTGTCATTGTTATAAGCTCTGCCCTTTGTACCTGTCAGCTCACATAGATTGAGGAAGGAAACTCACATTGGGTGAGGTTTATCAGTGTTATATTTGTAGTGATGTAACAGGTGAAGGAGTCACCAATGGACCGTCTGCTGTTTTCACTGGTTTCAATGGTGATTGCCCCACTTTATTACTTTGTAACCATATTTCCAAACACGACATTTTGATAAATATCTCCAATGTTTTTGGTTTTTCCTCCACCATCTGTGCCTTTGCTGGGCCAGGCCTGAATTGGATTCTGATGTCAGCTGCTAAATCTTTTATATACTTTTAAAAGAAAAACGCAGCATGTAAGGTTAACGGGACACTGTAGTCAATGAAACCACTACAGCTTAATGTGGAGGCTTTAGTGTCCTTAGTCAGTGCCTGCAGTCTGTTCAATGTAAATACTGCCTTTTTTCAGAGAAAAGGCTGTGTTTACATTGTTCCCTAGTAACACGGTCGCTGAGTCGGTCACTAGATGACCTTACATATTTTAGTCCTGCAATCTTTGCAGGACGTGCGTTCAGCATCTCCACTCTGCATGGAGGCACTGAACACTCCCTATAGAAATGCATTGAGTCAATGCATCTCTACCAGAGGATGTGGATTGTCGCAGCAAGGTGTTTTACAGCGAATGGGCACTAGCCACCCAATGCATCTCTACAAGGAAATATTGGATAAGCTTAGATCAATTCATTCTGGAGAAAGGATAAGTAAATCACTCTTTTATACAGCTTGGTGGTGGTGGGAACAACAGTAACCTAAATGGGGACTAGGGTACAATAGCATTAGGAATACAGGTTTGTGTTCGTTTAACACAAGTCATGGGTTTTTATTAATAAGAGTAACTTATTAATCTAATACAATACCTACTACATATTTTATGCTTAGTGATTTCACATTTTCTTGCATGTTTAGTTAAAAGCTGAAAATTAAGTTTCTACTATATCAGTCGCCATGATATAATGCCGCAAATTGTATCTGTCTGTCATCTAATTTGACACATTCTTGCTTATGAAAGCGTTGATTCATCCAGTCTTTGATGTGAGAATCACTGGTTTAATATCTTTTCTTTTTTTTTTTTTTTTTAAAGCATGGAAAGACCTAACAAGTGGAGATTTCAATATTTACAAGCTTCCTGGTGGCCATTTTTATCTAAAGGAGCCTGCAAATCAAAAACAGCTTGTGTCACATGTGACAAAATATCTAGAAAATTATGAAATGACTTATTTGTGATCCCCAGTGTACAGATTTTGAAGAATGGATGGGTTGATTTAGCTCCAGGTGGCTAGTTGTTCACAGTTTAATGAAGTTTTTTTGTGCATATACCTTGTACTTTTCTTCCAGGCAAAGTATAACATTTCAGGATCTGAGAAATGACAATGTTTATATTTGTCCGACTGCCTGCCTGCCTCTAAGGGCACTTCCTCAAAACTTTTATTTTAAGGTCATCACGCCCAGTATATATGCAGGGATTACAATTTCAACTACTACACTACTAGGCAGGCCAAAAAAAATAAATTATATATTCACAGCTACAAGCCTGGAGCGTACATGGCACACTCATCGGGAATTAATTTCTACTCACCGGTGGCTAGCAGAGTGTGATATTTTGGAGCCACGAAGAATGGATGTGCTGCAGACTACATAATTTTCTGTTAAAAGCAGACAGTTAAACTAAAACTCCCCAAAATAGTGTATGTAGAATGTGGTTATTAAAAATAAACAGAACTTCAGCATTCTGATGTGTCAGCCATTCCTGGTCTCGTCAGAGGGTGATATCAATCTAGGCATAGCTTGTGGGAGGGAAGGTTGCTCAGATGTGACTTGTGAGTGGCTGAATGAGCTTGGAGATCATTTGATTGGCTAGCTCTAAACCTATAAATGCTCCTGCTAAAAGTTCTTTACGATAGGCTTTTTTGGTTTGTGGGTATTTTTAAATAAATACTTAAACCTCAATTTAATTTTGTTGGATACATTTTCCCAAATATTTAATATTTTTGGATAAACATTTTAAGTGACTTAATTTTATGAAACTTTAAGGTTTAATATATTTAATTTGATATTTATTTTTATAGGCTTTTTTCGGATTTTAGATGAGAGAAACACAAAGAAATTGCATTAAACAAATGTATAATTGCACAACAATGAGAAAGTATGTAACCAAGCCACCACAATTTGCACCATTCAAGTTGCATAGGCCAGAACTTTTTTTGTGTGGAAATATAGAAAGCTTATCCACCAATATAAACTAGAAGCCTTAAAATCACTTACCAGCATAAAAAGAATTAAAAGGAGCACTGTAGGGTCAGGAACATAAACATGTATTCATGACCCTATAGTGCTAAACCCACCATTTTGGTATCTTGCCGCCTCCCCACCCCATTTCCAAGCAATTAAAAAACTCCGCTTATTTCAAGTGCTGCATGTATCTGTTGACACTGGCCCCACTCCCTTTGGTGACATCAGAATTGCCAATTTTTAGCCAATCCAATGCTTTGACAAGGATTGGCTAAAATTGGCAAGGGGCAGGGCCAAACACCGTTTTGGCCAATCAGCACCTCCTCATAGAGAGGTATTGAATCAATGCATCTGAGGAAAATTCAGCACCCCCATGCCTACTGTCCAACACTGCTTCAGGAAGCACCGCCAGTGGCCATCTGGAGGTGTCCCTAGGGGCAATGTAAATACTGCCTTTTCTCTGAAAATGCAAACTTTTTTTTTCCCCTCTCCGAAAAGGTAAAAGGCAATGTTTATACTCACCAGAACAAGTACATTAAGCTATAGTTGTTCTGGTGACTATAGTGTCCCTTTAACAATTGGTTTAAATTAGCTCAAGTGTTTTATTCATTTCATCTTAAGGGAGTCTAGGCCTGACTTCCACAGGAATATAGTGGATACACTATATCTTGCTGTTCAACTATAGTTTTAATTTGCATATTAAGTTTTCATAAGCCCAACCTTTCGTTGCCCTGTCTCTCAATCTGCTGGGTCTCTTTGTTTCGCAATATTTTAATGCTTAATGAAAATAATGTGTCAATCCACTTTCTCTTTAAGAAAAATAATCTCATTGGTTCCAGTACCAGAATGACAGCTGATGATAAAGAACTGGAAAGACAGTAATTTGTAAAAGGATTTAATGGATCAGTGCAGGAAACCACTTAAAAACTACAACCATTCAGATCTACGTTAATTGTATAAACCCAGAGCCAGTTAATTGAACAGGAATCCTTTATATCTGTTCTGCTCCTTCTCGCAGTTTTGAGATCAAGGGTTGAAAATTAAACTCCATATTTTTCGATAAGCTCATTTGCTTTAGAAACGTAGGCACTCATGGCATCCTCTTTAGACAAGCCTGCAAGGAGTAACAAAAAATAAAATAAAAAATGTAATATGTACATCTGTGACAAACCCAATCTGGTGTAAATTATGCATTTCTCCTGTATTTACACAATATTATTTGTGCTCTATAAACAGAGGGAACACAAAGCAAGTTTCCTTTTGAATTGTAGATACTTTATTTGCCATGGTTTTAGCCTCGATGGAGTCATTGATCATATTATAGACATTTTACTTCCCCCAGGTATTCTTTGCACTAGACATTAATTTGCTCTTTAAACGTTAGTTTGACTATGTTGGAAGTATTGCAATTTAAGGCACTAACAGGATTCTATGTATACAGGCTCCTACCCCTTTACAGGTCTAACACAAAAACAGCCACCATCTAAATAAATATGTAGAATAAAGACAGACACTCACCTTTTTTGGAATTCCAAGCTTCCCACTTGGCTTTGCCTTTTAGGTCTAACATTCCGGGACAGTCTAGATGGAAATAAGAAAAGAAAAGAAAAAAAAAAAATTTAGATAGATAGATAGATGTTTAGTTTGTGCAAAATATCTGTAGTTTTCAATAAAAAAGTAAAATTCATAGCACTTTATCCTTCCAGTTACTGAATTTCATGTGAATAGTTCTAGGTAAGAATTCCATAAAAACATAGCATTTCAGTGATTCCCAAGAACTCTCCAACTCGAAGTCCACGTTGTCTTCAAAAGAAGACCTTTGCACTTCCTCATCACCAACACTTACATCATTTATTATGGATTATAGCTAGAGTGTTTAAAATGAGAACCAGTTCCATTTGTCCTTGTCTTTCCATTAGCCCTGGTAAATTGTGTGGCAAGACATGAGAGATCGCCCACATACAATGTTGACTCCCCTTGCCTTGTTCATCCACAGGTTTGGATTTCAGTGCCTACACACCAGTAATAACACAACCCCTGGAAGTTTAATAGTCGAGGTATTCTACACTGCATGCGGCTAGTTTCAGTCATTTCAAGGTGTTTACTTGAGAGGTTCTCATCTCCTGCTCTGTAAATTGAACTTTACATACAGGAGGATCCTGAAGGCTATTAACAGTACAGGAAATACATTCTAAATTAAACAGACTGTACAATAAAGGAAGTGTAAACAGATATCTATTTACAGGAAATTGGTAGGTCCCATGCAGGGATGTGATTTAACTCCAAATGGAAGATAATTGATAGACAGCAGGGTCTATCGATCAAATCCACTCCAATGAGCTAAAAGTTGTTTTGGTGCAAGTGTTCTGTGATCAGATTGTAAAGTTGTAATTTAGATACTAGTCTAACTTGTCCTCTTCGAATCCAGCCGTCACACCAAAGACATTAGACAGAATTTAATCAGAAAGTTAAATGTGGAATTCTGGAAAAGAGATATACAAGTTAGTTGACCTATGAGTTAGAGGCGCTACTTTATCAGAACATAAAAACACGTTTGAACATAAGTGAACCAGAAACCTGAGCAAATACAAGACGTCCCAGCATTTAGGCCATCTTGTGCAACAATATACATTAAACATATTGAATATCAAGATAAAAATAGACAGGTTACTGCACACATGAATATTTTAGGAAAAATAAATAACCATTCTCCAGGCGCAATGGATGGTAGTCGGGTTGATCCATTCCACTAGAGATTTGGGGTATTGGTGATGAAGACACCCAATTAAAATGCATGCAGGGAGGTAATGGAATGTTGGTTAAATGGATACCATCTAGAAATAACCAAGGAGAAGCAGCTCCATGCAATCTGTGGCTGAGACCTTGGACTGTTGGTGACAAGATAAGTTTCCCAATAATATCCATTTACAGCATTTCCCTGAGGGGGGACATCACACTCAAATCTGACGCAGGCAGAGTGAGCCTTGCTCCTATGGAAGAAATGGCAAGCCCTTACTACAAAATGCCCCAATTAGTTGCTATAGATGTTTCTAGTGAAATCAGCTGCAACTCAAACCACTTCCGGGTGTGTGATTGCTCTCTGATCTGATGCAAGCATTAGAAAGCCTTGCAATCCAGAAGAATTCACTATAGTCCATCCCCAAAGAGACATCATCATGATTAAGCATGCAGGCATTTTTTTTTTTTTTTTTAAATGCAGTAACAATTTGTTTTTATTATGTACACAACACACACAGAGATCCTGCAAGTTCAAAACACATCATAATCTAGTAATTAAAGAACAAGTGTACAGAAAATCTAAAATGTGTGTATTTTGTTTCGAATTTCCCTAGATCACAAACCCATGGAAAGAATGAGTAGCCAGATATATGGCTAAAGAATAGATCACTATTCGTCCATCATATTTTACATCCTCGTTTTTCAACCAGTGAAGGTATGCCTAGAGCTGGTAACCTTCACATCCCTGACAGAAGACAGCTGGCTGTGTGCCAAATTAAATTAGGCACCGGCTTACCTGGACAGTGGGCACCTACACTGCCCAAATACAGTGTGTGGGTGGTGGATGAAGAGCGAGCTGTAGCAATGCTCCCTCGTACACCCTACAGTGATGCCAGGAGTTAGATTTTAAGACGTCACTGCAGCCTTGGCATCACTTAAAGCAGCACTGTCATGCCAAACTTACCTTTCCCCAATCGCTTCCTCTTCATTTCTTCTAGTTTTCTTTAAAACATAAGACAAAGTAGTCCCTACCATCTATGACCAGAATAAAGTGTGCTCCATTTCCTGTGGTGAGAGAAGTTTTACCACAATTCTTACCTTTCCTCCGTGTTCTCACGACGCCTCCTTTTCGGATTACCGAACGCCGGCAAAAAACTACAGAATTCCGCCCTAACAGAATGAGAGAACAAAAGTCCAGAATTTTGTCCATTCGTGTTAGGACAAAATTCTGGACTTTTGTTCGGTTTGAAATTTCATTTGAATGAAATTCTGATCCAATCGCGGCTGCATCTTGCAGCCGCTTAGTAGATGGTTCCCTAATACTGTGGGAATTAGGGAACCATCTACCAAAAGGGTGAGACCAAGATTGGTCTTTCAGCCAAACTTAATACCAAGTAAAGATTAATACTAAATAATTTTAATATTAACGTAGTGTCCCACCCTTGCCCTACGAGTGGGGGCTATGCAACTAAATAGGGCCCTGACCCACTACACATGGTGGGTGAGGAGAGACCTATTTCCCTCCCCCCCCCTAACAGCATGCGGATTTACAGCTTCAGGCTTGAATACAGTAAGATTTTTACTATATTTATGGAGGCATAAGGGGCCCAGATCGTGGTGTTAACACTATAGGGTCAGGAATACAGGTTTGTGTTCCTGACCCTATAGTCATCATTTAATGTTTCAATGCATGAGTGTGTTTGAATATTGAGATGTATGCACATATACAGACATACACAGAAACAAAAAACAATAACACACACAGACACACTAATACACCCAATGAGAACATACAGATACACAGACACTGACACATGCGAATATACAATGCATACAGATACAAAGATATACACAACGAGAACATACACTGACTAAACAGATACAGACCGAAACACATACTGACACACACACTCAGACACTCATGCAAAATTTGTTAACCACCCTCCAGTTTCTTACCTTTTCCTGGAGGGTGGCTTCCCTGGGGTCCAGTGGGCTGGCTGGGAGTTAAGGTCTCACTCTCTCCCGGCCTGGCCCCCTCCAGAACAGCAGGTTATGAGCAAGGGGCTCGGTCGCGCTGTTAAAGCGCCCCACCAGGCCCCTGCTGACACAGGCCCACCGGGTAGCCCTAAGTGCATGGGCCCCCAAAGTATACGGGCCCGCTGCCCACAACAATTTATTTTGGGATCAGCGACCCCAAGAGACATTGTTGCGGGCAGACGGAGCAGCTGCCTTTGGCCCTCCAGCAGTGACAGTGCCCGGGGAGGCTGCCCCATGTTAAAGACGGCCCTGATTCTACATGGTTTAAATCATTACCTATATTTATATCGCCTACAGTTGCTTGCTTGTAAAGACTGTAGAGTTCCTTCAATTCATCATCGGATGGTTTGGTTTTCAATTTCTTTATGTCTTCTGCAGCTTTGTCAAAATCTGCCTATAGATTTAAAAAAAGATATAAATAAAATTTAATTGCAGAGATAGCCAACAACATACAATCCATATGTCTAACAATCATACATTACATCAAATAATTTTATCCCCCCAAAAAATTAAAATAAATAAAAAAAAGTCTACATATGTTTGGCAAACCGACTTTGTCAAAAGACGAATGGTTTTCCAATATAATAGTTTGAGAGCTAAACATTCCCAACGGCCAGAGCCATTCGCATATGCAAGTCAGGCATTTTATGCGCCCGTGCCAAGGCTCCACAGTGTCCAGGGGACGGACACTCAGTATTAGAACCAAGGGGACATTCACCATACTGGAATTGCTACATTCAGACACCAGCACTTATTTTAAAATAATGTAAAATTAAAGGGACACTATAGTCACCAAAACAACTTTAGCTAATTGAAGCAGTTTTGGTGTATAGATCATTTCCCTGCTCAATTCTCTGTCATTTAGGAGTTAAATCACTTTGTTTGTGCACCCTAGTCACACCTCCCTGCATGTGACTTGCACAGCCTTCCTAAACATTTCCTGTAAAGAGTCAGCCAATGTTTATACTTAAAGTGTACTATCCCCTGCACTGTTGATTGCTTGCTAGGCCCCACAGAAGCCTCCTGTGTATGATTAAAGTTCACTTTAGAGAGCAGGCAATAAGAACTTTTAAAGTTTCATCTAATTGAAAGTAAAGCCAGTGGCTAGGGCTGCATGGACAGAAACAAAAAAAGGGATTTAACTCCTAAATTGCAGAGAACTGAGCAGTGAGACTGCAGGATGATGATCTATACACTAAAACTGCTTCATGCTGTAAAGTTGTTTTGGTGACTATATTGTCCCTTTAATACATACATAGCAAAGAATATTAGGAAATTAAAGCACTTAACAGTTCATACAGTTTGACTGTGGAGGACATGCAGACCTTTAATTAGCAATGCCCAAATGTAAAGTCATTGTCGCAGATTTATAGCCTGCCTTGTGATAGGAGGACTCAGTCGATCGGACTGTGGAAGAAGTGCTGAAATCTGCAGGTTTAGTCTTGTTTGCTAGAACAGAACATTAGAGACAAGTGAGTTGCATTTAGAACCAGACAATAAAACCGAATGGACTGCAAGCTGGGCATCCCAAGCAGCTATTTTGACTCTTGTGTAACAGTGGGTAGAGCAGATAATTGAGCAAAGATCACTTGCATGTACCCTACTGATTATGAGAATTCATACCAACATTCTCAGCCAGTTTAATAGAACTGTAATAGGCTGAGGAAGAGATCGCACTGGAGCCCAGTCTCCTGCTATCCCCGGATTGCAAGAGTGAAAGGAGTGATTTGATTAGTTGGCAAACCTCCAGAAAAATGAATTAACCAAAGTGCTCATTCACACAATCTACCCTTGCTTCCAAATAAACATCCCCTTCCCAAGAGACTTCTCTTTTTAGCACCTTTTTATTCCCTAGGTTGCACTGAAATATTCCTTCTTTTTATAAATTCAGGAGTTTAAGCGATTGTACAGTTTAAAATGTAAGTGGTTATTGTATCTGAATTGATCAGTCTCATCTACACATTACAAAATAGATGGATTTTGCTTATTGGCCGTTTAGGATATCCCAAGTAGTCAACTGCTAATCACGAGTCCAGGTGTATGGGATTACAAATGATCTTCAAAAAAAAAAGAAGTTGCGTGTAAAAACCTGGGATAGTGGAAATGCTATCGGCTAACCTTTCTATGAAGTCTCTCACATTACTTTTTTGTTCCAACACACAAGAGTGAGAATACTTCATTTATTTAAACCTTAATGCAAAGAAGTGATTTTAGTTAGGTATAAAATGTCCTTTCTCACCTATAAAGTTTTAAAAGTGGAAATAGATTAGGGAGCAATTGCAAGTATTGTGTCCAGCAAGATTCACAACTCATGCTAGCCCCAGTAAACGAAAGACAGTAGGGTGAGGCTTTAAAGGGACACTAAAGTCACCTGAACAACTACTGCTTAATGTAGTTGTTCAGGTGAGATCTATAGCTCCCTGCAGGCAATCTAATGTAAACACTATTTTCAGAGAATTTATTTTTTTACCATGTGTTTACAGCAGCTCAGTGTGCCTGAGATGGACCAGTGGGAATAATTTATTCATGCTGGCCGGGTAAGGGGTTTGGTACAGTAGATTCCATGCAATCCCTACCATGGAAACAATGTACTCCTTGAACTGCTCGGGGATTGCTCAGCATTTCCCCAGGCAACACACTGAAGAAACAAGCGAAGCTTTATATTGGGATAATCCATCATGATCAAGAGTCTAAAATCTAAATTCATTAGCAAATTAGACAACTTCTAAAACCAGATTCTTCTAAGAAAAAAAAGAAAAAAAAAAGTTACAGAAACATAATAAATATTGATGTCGCGAACATAAAACTTCCGGTTCGTGAACGGGAACTTCCGCAAATGTGCGAATCGCCATAGACTTCAATAGGCAGGTGGATTTTAAAACCCACAGGGACTCTTGCTGTACACAATAGTGATGGAAAAGTTGTTTCAAGGGGATCAACACCTGGACTGTGGCATGCCGCAGGGGGATCCATGGCAAAACTCCCATGGAAAGTTACATAGTTGATGCAGAGTCTGGTTTTAATCCATAAAGGGCATAAAATCACCTAACATTCCTAAATAGTTTGGAATAACGTGCTTTAAAACATCAGGCATGATGTTGTATCGATCAGGTAGTGTAAGGGTTACGCCCGCTTCACAGTGACAGACCAAACTCCCCATTTAACGCAACGCAGACAACTGCAAACTCCCCATTTGCACAAGGTTGGATACCAAGCTAGCCATGTCCCGTTCCTTGTCCTCACTGATGTCATTGAAGGTCTCTTCCTCCACCCAGCCATGTACAACACCAAGGGTCCCCAAAAGGTGACAACAAGCCCCCTGGGACGCCTGCTGTGTTTGGTCTTCCAACTCCTCAAAGCCTCCTCTCTCTGCGTTATTATAAGGTGTGTTAAGTAGTACTATTCCTATCAGTTTAATCCCTGTTAGGTCCCCTATCAGGGGACATGTATATGGCATCGATTTTAGGAAACGGGAGATGGAAAAATATGCTTGGTCGGTCCTCCTACTTCAAATTTGAGGCACTGCGCGTGCAATCTAATGTGCCACAAGATAGGAGTGGTGTGTTAAGTAGTACTATTCTTATCAGTTTAATCCCAATGTCACGACTACTAGTGTGGTCCAGCACGCAGAAACTATGTAAACATATACATAGGCAAGAAAAGGAAACTAAAAGGACAGAGCGTAAACCGGACCTTAGAATGGCCGGACTAATACGCTAGAGACAGAGAATGGTCAAAGGGAAAGCCGAGGTCAAGGAAGCCAGAAAATACACAATACTGTTTACACAAGCCAAGTCAGGGAAACCAGAATTCAGAATAACCAGGGAAAAGCCAAGATGCATCAAGGTTCTGAGCGGAAGCTGTAGAAGATTGGGTGTCCTGTGTTAGCCAGTCAACTATGTCCTCAGAACTTTTCGAGTTCAGGTTACGTGGCCTCTGAACACTGGGCATTATTCTAGGGACAAAGGGAATCACAGCACCACGACAGCCCCTGCCTGTCTTTTTTTTTTTTGATTAGTGGTACTATGCGTGCAAGCTACTGTGACAACAGATGAGTGGCACAAGTTGGCAGAGTAGACGCTGTAGGCCTGACACGCTTACAGACAACTAACTGCTATTCAATCTATTAGTCAAAAAAAAAATTTTTTATTTTTTAAATGTACACTACTGTTACACCAGATATGAGTGGCACTGGTGTGACACTGTGCCCTGGCAGGCCCTGAAACGCACACGTGTGAAGGAAACTGACTGTTATTACATTACAGTCCAAAAAGGTTTTTTTTGTTAAATGCAAGCTATTGTGACACCGAATAGGAGTGGTGGCACTGGGCAAAATATACGCTGTGCGCCTGACACACGCTGGCAGACAACTAACTGCTATTCAATCTATTACAGTCAAAATTGTATTTATTTTTATTTTTAAATGTACACTACTGTTACACCAGATATGAGTGGCACTGGTGTAACACTGTGCCCTGGCAGGCCCTGAAACGCACACGTGTGAAGGAAACGGACTGCTATTATATTACAGTCCAAAAAGTTTTGTTTGTTTTTTTAAATGCAAGCTATTGTGACACCCAGAGGCGGCTCTAGACTTTATGAGGCCTTAGGCGAAACTCAAACATTAGGCCCCACTAACAAAAAAAGTGTCACATATATACAATGATGCACAGTTTACCTGTGTATGTGCCTAAAAGAGTGTGTCTGACAGAGTATCCTTGTGCGTGAATGTATGCCTGTGAGCATGTTTGCGTTTTTGTCTGAGACCCTATGTGTATCGGGTAGCTGCTTGAAGTGTGTTGTGTGTATGGGGGTTGATGGTGAGAAAGGCGGGTGATGGTGATGTGAGAAAAGAAGGAGGGTGGTGATGCTGAGGGTGGTGGAGGGGGTGGTGGAGGGGGTAGTGAGGCTGAGGGTGGTGTGGGGGGTTGTGAGGTCAGAGAGATCAGATTAGTCCTTCAGTACTGTAGTGGACACTGAGTACACTAGCCTAGCTATCAATTTCCCTATCAAATCAGCAGCAACTACACTGTCCCTCCTCTCACTAAGAATGCAGCTTCACAATGAATGTAAAATGGATGCTGTCCAGGAGGTGGGAGGGTCTGGGAGGGAGGGTCTGCTGCTGCTTGGCTGGAATGTGTCTGCTGACTGTGAGGTACAGGGTCAAAGTTTACTCAATGATGACGAATAGGGGGCGGACCAAACAGCGCATATGTTCACCGTCCGCGGCGAACAAGCGATGTTAGCCGGGAACTATTCGCTGGCGAACCGTCCGGGACATCACTAGTAATAAAGTTTAAAGGAATTTTAAAAGCATTGCAAGTCATTCATTGTAGATTGCAGCTCATATACAGACCAGTCGTTAGAGTTTATTCATTGTGCAACAAATGGCAAAAACAGCCAATCTGTTACTAGCCAAGAGGACCCACCCTTCCCCAGTCAGTCAGCAGTTTTTGACCAAATTTCACAATTAAAAGGACCACTATAGTACCAGGAAAACAAACTCGTTTTCCTGGCACTATAGTGTTAATAGGTCTCCCCACCCTCATGGCCCCCCTCCCGCCAGGCTCTAAGGGGAGGAAGGGGTTAAATGATTACCTTTCCCCAGCACCGGGCTCCCTCAGTGCTGGGGACTCCTCCTCCTTCCGACGTCATCGTCTGAATGCGCAAGCGTGGCAATAGCCGCACGCGCAGTCAGTACATGGGAAACAAACAGTCTCAATGAGACAGCCACTAGAGGCTGGATTAACCCCATTGTAAACATAGCAGTTTCTCTGAAACAGCTATGTTTACAGCAGGCAGGGTTAACCCTAGATGGACCTGGCACCCAGACCACTTCATTGAGCTGGAGTGGTCTGGGTGCCTATAGTGGTCCATTAATTTTTCTATTCACTACATTTTGCGGTTTAGTCAATAAGTCTCCATTGCTTTAACCCCCTTAATTCCAGAAGTTTGGTCCTTAAGGGGTTAAAGCCAATATTACTCTTTTTGGTGGTCTATCTTTAGATCTCAAACTGCACTCATTATATAATAGCCATACTTACATACTAAGTTAGTATAGCCAATATAGATTTTAATAGTTTACTATGGGACAAAATTGTGTTTTGAGAAGTTAACTTGACGTTCTGCAAGTCTACAATGTTATTTGTAGTGAATGAACAGGTTAAAGGGCCTCTATAATCTACTTTTACAGTTCATTGACTGTTAAATATCGAAGAAGCGGAGACGCGGACTGTTTTGATGTAGAAAATATAAAAACCCATTAAGAGACTAAAAGGTAAGTGAATTAAACTCAATGGAAGTGATCCAACCCCATAAGTAAGTGAATGGTAGCCTTTGGCATTCCACATGTTCAGTATTACATATCCCTACAATGCTCAGAGAGCGTAGAACCTTTCAGTAAATTTCAGAAAGCTTGACTGAGATATTAAACTATATCCAGTGGTGTATTCTGGTTTTGTGCTGCCCTAGGCATGACAAACCCCCCCCCCCCCCACACACACACACACAGGCAACACGCTATTTGCCTGACAGACACTGATGCATACACAGTCATTGCCACACACTGTTTAACCAACACACACATACACTCACTGACAGATGCATGCTGACAATATACATACACACCCACAATTGTGGTTTTTTTTGTAAATTTCAATCCACCCAGCCTCCATACCTTTGCTGGAGTGGATTCTCCATTTCCCTGGGGTCCAGCAGGGATCCTTTAATTGCCAGAGGGACAAGTCAATTTAGGCGGTGAGGGAGCTCTGATCTCCCTGCTCTGTTCCCTCGCCTCTCAGTGATGCCCGGGCCGACGTCATATTCTGGCATTACTGTGGTGCGCGAGGAAGCTGAGCTCAGGGGACAGTGCTCCCTAGCCGCCCGCCTTCCACATCAGGTAATGCCAGCCTCTGGGGGGCCCCGAGTTGGCCAGCTCCTTGGCCTCCCAAGACAAGAGGCTAGCAAGGTATTTGCCAGAGTGTTTGGGGGGCACCCCCCTGAAAGTGCCACCCAAGGCAAATGCCTTGTCAGCCTCACGCTAAATACACTGCCGTCTATATCTGTCGTAGAATACATGTCCATTGCATTAAAGGGTTACTCAAGACACCATGCCCACTTCAGTGACTTACTATGAAACACTACACATACAGAGATTAAACTCTTCTGCTGCCGGAAGTGGAGTTACAACGTTACAGGAGTCTCAGCAAGCCTGGAACTAGAGTTCCAAACTGAATAATGTAAATTCTGTGCATATTACCAGGTGCCCAGCAAGAAGGCAAACCATTACTGGTAAGTGGTGTCAGGGTACGCCTTACATCATAACCACTATAGCGGGTGGTAGTGGTTGTAGTGCTTTGAATAACTAAGGTTATAGAAGCATATTCTACTCAATGATGTGTAGGAACTGGGAGGTCGGGGGGAGGGCGAAGATACCTCAGAAAAAAAAAGTAATGTTAATCTATTAATATATAGGATTCCTTTTATACAGTATATAATTTTGCCTGTAGTAGCCTGCATGGTCAATGTATGCGCCCTAAATAGGGCTGGGATAGTTATAAAAATCTGTCCACTCCAGATTTTATTTGGTTCCTACGACATTTCAATGAAATAACCTTTGTATTGGAAAATGTTATTCCTGATAAGATTGGAAGATCATTTACAGAAATATAAGATTAATAACTGGAGCACCGTCTAATTTACTGTATATCAACCTTAAAGCAGTGATTCTTTTTCTGAAGCTATATATATTAGTTAAGTCAACATTGAACAGGAAAACACTGCAATGATGCTACATTTGTAAGAGTGTCTTTAAACCTACTTGGTTGAACAAGACACCATTAATGTAAGAAGTGGGGGTGACAATGCAATTTTAGGTTGAAGTATCAGTTTATGGTAGTATTTGAAGGACTTTGGGTTTGGAAGAGGGGTGTTGCCTGGCTGAGAATCACAGGAGTTATAGTCTGCTCCTTGAAAGTAGGTAACCATGCCCCTTATTTCCCTTAAAAGCCCAGTGATCGGCAGGACACCACGCTGTGCCAGTCATTTCCTCATTGATAGGCATTGATTCAATGCATCTCTATGGGGAATGTTCAGGGTCTCCATGCAGAGAGTGGAGACACTGAATATAGGTGCTGCACTGACACAGGAAGTACCTCTAGTGACTGCAACAAGAGGTGTAACTAGGCACCATTGTAAACACCATTTTCTCTGAGAAGGCAGTGTTTACAGTGCCAACACTGCAGGGACAGGCTATAGACGCCAAAATCACTACGTTAAACTGTAGCTGTTCTGGTGACTATAGTGTCCCTTTAAATTTGAAATTCACACTTTAACCCTGCATCTTCTCTTTAACACAAGCAAGAAGAAAAATTTAAAATATGTAATGTTCTACTGTAAACTACATTGACAGTTATCTGCATGGTAATTTTTAGTTTTAAATTAAAACCTAGGATATTCACCCAGTGACAATGGCACAACGGTTTCAATGTTCCATATATTTAATGGTTTAAAATAAAATTAAAATGCATTTCTTAAAACCCATATGACATGTTTTACCCCATATAGCCTAAACTGACTAATGCAAGATCATGGTAGCCACTTCTTGCAGCAAAAATACGCTGTGGTTAATCTATAATATTCATCACAGACCTGGCATGTCAAACTGCAGTCCTTGCAAACTGAGCTCCCATCCCCCTCCTCATCAATTTCCTATCCTTAACAATGCACATCAAGCAATATAAAAGGTCTTAGAGGATGCGGATTAAGGACTACGCAATACCCCATTGGCAGATTATTTTATAAATAAAATACTCCAGTACAATTACAGTAGGTGGAGATGCATTCCATGACTTTAGAATATAATTAAATTATTTACAGATATTCAAAAGATAAAATCTCCTCCAAAATGTTCAGAGTTGTGTTAAATACAATAAAAATGAATGTGCATCTTCGTGTTAAAAAAGCAGCATACCCCAAATTAATACAATACTTAGCTGAAATTGGTAACTGTGCCCAGTTTTATATCCTTCAGCAAAATGAGTGACTGGAAAACAGTCACAGACTAGATCTGAGACAGTACAATGAAACACTTTGCAATAAAATGGAATAAAACAGAATATAAAAATAATAAAAACCAAGTAACGGATCTATACATGATATAAAGCTAGCTTTACAAAGAAAAAACAGATTTCCTCCAGGAGACATTACTACTTCAATACTTAACCCTTTGACAACAATGGAGCTATCTACCCCTATGCACATGCAGTATTAATCCAAGTGTAAAAGGAGGACCCAGGGGGTGGGGTGGGTGTTCACTGTGCCCTACGCATGGCTGGCAGTGTATAGGGGGGTGGGGGCTGTACCTTGGGAGACATGGCTGTCAGTGTATAGGGGGGCTGGGCTGTACCTGGGGAGACATGGCTGGCAGTGTATAGGGGGGCTGTACCTGGGGAGACATGGCTGGCAGTGTATAAAGGGGGAGCTGTACCTGGGGAGACATGGCTGGCAGTGTATAAAGGGGGAGCTGTACCTGGGGAGACATGGCTGGCAGTGTATAGAGGGGCTGGTCTGTACCTGGGGAGACATGGCTGGCAGTGTATAGGGGGGCTGTACCTGGAGAGACATGGCTGGCAGTGTATAGAGGGGCTGGGGAGACATGGCTGGCAGTGTATAGAGGGGCTGGGGAGACATGGCTGGCAGTGTATAGAGGGGCTGGGGAGACATGGCTGGCAGTGTATGGAGGGGCTGGGCTGTACCTGGGGAGACATGGCTGGCAGTGTATAGAGGAGCTGGGCTGTACCTGGGGAGACATGGCTGGCAGTGTATGGAGGGGCTGGGCTGTACCTGGGGAGACATGGCTGGCAGTGTATGGAGGGGCTGGGCTGTACCTGGGG